TCCTGAGCCAGGATCCCGCATGCCCTTCCCGTTTCCCCGGCAAGAAAGAGGTCAGCAACTGAGACTTGGCTCCCCGCAAAGCGAGCGCACCCTTGACAAGGCCTGCTTCCTCGAGAGGAGTCTGCCTCCCACTTTCTTCCCTTGCTCACCTCAGAGAGGATGAGGAGGAATTCTCCTCGTGGGGGCAGCAGCCAGCGGGGCAAAACCAGCCTCCAAGACAGACCCAAACCAAGAGGCTCCACTCCCAGCAATCTATTTCCAACCGCAGATGAAGAGAAGCCTCTCTTTCTCCCAGCCCAACATGGATTCCGTCCAGCCTTGGACAGGTCAAAGGGGTCCTCCTGGCTCAGTTGGAACTGCCTGTTCTTGCAGCTCCTGGTTGCTGGGTGGTTTCAGAGGGCAGCTGGATTAGCCTGCTGTACAAGAACTGGATTTGAGTCCAGTTGCGCCACAGAGACCCACAAGACGGGGGGGCGGGAATGAGCTTCAAGAGTCCAAGGTCCCTTCGTTGGTTCGTTGCTGGAGCCTGCCTTCCTGAGCACTTTGACGAGAAACCTCTTTCACAGGGTTTTCATTTCCAAGCAGAGATCAGCTAGGCTACCTCCCGCTTTCGAGTCCATGTATGTGGGGTTTTTTTGCAAGCCACATAAACTAGGGAAAGGGTCTCTCCTCCCCGCAAAAGCCTCCACATTGGGGGCCATGTGTCTCCCTCCCTCAGCCTTGGCTCCAGGAGGACAGGCTTCAGCTGGGCAGCCAGGCTGGAAGGAAAGTCTGGTGGCATGGAACAGGTGGACCGTGGCAGATGCCGCTTTTCTGGAGCTGAGCCCATCAAAGTTCATGCTACAATAAGAACATCAGGAGAGCCCTGCTGGGCCAGACCAGGGAGGGTCCATCTAGTCCAGCATCCTGTCTCACACAGGGGCCAACCAGTTCCTCTGGAGCCAGCAACAGGGCAGAGAGGCTGAGGCCTTCCCCTGAGGTTGCCTCCTGGTTCTGGGATTCAGAGGTTAACTGCCTCTGAATGTGTAGGTTCCCCTCAGTCACCGCGGCTAGTAGCCACTGATAGACTTATCCTCCATGAATCTATCCAATATCCTCTTTTAAAGCTGTCTATGCCTATGACCATCACTACGTCCTGTGGCAGAGAATTCCACCTTTTAATCATTCTCTGTATAAAGTAGTATTTCTTTTTGTCTGTCCTGAACCTACTGCCCATCAGCTTCATTGGATGCCCTCCAGTTCTAGTATTTGGGGAGAGGCAGAGAAATTTCTTTGTCAATTCTCTCCACCCTATTGCCTTTTATAAACCTCCATCAGGTCCTCTTTTAGTTGTCTCTTTTCTAAACGGAAAAGTCCCAGAATCTTCAGCCTTTCCTCTTCTAATCATCCTGGTGGCCCCTTTCTGTAATTTTCCCAGCTCTGCAATGTCCTTTCTGAGAAACAATAAATACCTTCCTTTTGAAGGTGACACAGGACTCAACTGGAGGTTTCCCTCAAAAAAAACAACAACACTTGAGTCCCAGGAAGGCTTTGCCTACGGGGTGGAGTGGCTTTTCGTGATAAGCAACGGCATAAGCGATTTCTGCTTAGAAGCGGAGAGTACATTTTAGGGGAGGGGGCTTGCTCTCTGGCTTGCTGACAGGGCACTGACGTTCCTGAGCACTGTGACGAATGATGCAAACATCTCCCAGTGAGGATGCACTCCCAGCTCTAGCTGGATTCAAATTCTAAGTTTTTTTGCATTTATTTACCCCAGAATAGGCCTTTCCCCTTTGTCTCTGAAGAAGCCTGCTTGCACACCTTGAATAAAACTTTGCTGGTCTTAAAGGTGCCCCTGGACTCAAACTCAAAGTCTGAGTCCAGTGGCCCCTTTAAGACCAACAAAGTTTAATCCTGAGTAGAAACTTTTGTGTGCCAGCTCTGTTCAAAGCGGCTCAGGTGATGGCCAAAGAAGTCAGGTGGGTCCAGCTGGATGTGCTCGTGGGTCTCCAGAGAAGCCGAAATGAAGGCAGGTGAAGTCCTCCATGCTTGGCAGTATCTCAGAATCTGAGTTCAGACTTTCCAAGTTTTGAAACTAAAAAAGCTGGGTCATGACGGGGAATGAGGAGGCGATGCTGCATCTGCCAAATCCCATACTTCTCCGCCGCCCTTTTTATTGCGCCCTGCTCTGCAAGGAGCTCAGGGGAGTCTCTCCATAGTTCTTCAGGGCTTCTGTTTTCTCCTGTGAGACCAGGGGGCTGGGCCCAGGTCACTGGGTGAGCCTCATGACCAAACAGAGATCTGAACTCGAGTCTATGGCATTAGGCCAGCCTTCTACCCACAACAAGCCAGTTTGGTGTAGTGGTTAAGTGCATGGACTCTAATCTGGGAGAACTGGGTTTGATTCCCCACTCCTCCACTTGCACCTGCTGATGTGACCTTGGGTCAGTCACAAGCTCTGGCACAGCTGTCCTTGAAAAAGAGCAGTTTGTGTCAGAGTTCTCTCAGCCCCACCCACCTCACATGGTGTCTGTTGTGGGGAGGGGAAGGGAAAGGAGTTTGTAAGCCGCTCTGAGACTCCTTTGGGTAGTGAAGGGCGGGGTATAAATCCAATCTCTTCTCTTCTCTTCTTCAACAACTGCGAAGGCGAGGTGAGAAAACAGGGATGACACAAGCCCCCAGACTGAGAAGAGGTTTTCTGGGAATTCAGATGAGCGCATGAAGCAGCTTCTCCCGGAGTCAGGCCCTCTGCCTGTCACAGTCAGCCTGGTCTCCACAGACGGGGAGCGCCTCTCTTGCGTCTCGGGTGGAGAAAGGCCTTCCGCATCATCTCCTACCGCCCACGCCTTCCAGAGTGCCTCCCCCGTGGGGAGCCCCCTTCTCCTCTCCCCGCACTGTGGGCTCTGCTGCCCAGTCTGCCCTGGCCCACCCCGTCAGCTTGGCCACTGACGGATGCTCTCCTCCAGGTGGCCATTTCCCGCTGGGCGGAGCAGACCTCTGGCACAGGGCGGAAGAACAGTGGGCATTTGGCGTAGAAAACAACCCACGGGCTTGCCCTGGGGTAAAGACAGTGTTCACGCCACCCCAAGCACAGATGTGGGGTTGTGCCTGCACGGGGCACTCCAGCTGTGCCAGCCCCAGGGTGTCCTGGTCGCCTCCAGATGTTGGTGGCCAGGGGAGGGTCCTTCTCCAAGCAAGCTGGGCTGGGCGATGCAGCATCCTGTGCAAGCAGCCCCCGCCCCCCTTAGGTGCGAGAAACAGCCACAACTCCTTTCATTCCATGTGCAAGCCGCACACTCACACACAGCCTGGCCGCCTCACCCCCCTGCAAGCCCCTCCTGCAAAGTGGCTTGGCACAGGGGTGGATGGAGGTGGGGGGCCTTCTAGTCCCACCCGGCTGCATGCCCCCCAGGCCGCCTGCCTTGCGTGGTCCTAGTGGGGGGGCTGCACTCCAGAGCGCCACCTTCCGTGCCCATGGGTGGGGGGCTCACGCACACAAGACTGTGCTACCAGTACAGACTTTAAGGGGGCCACCACCAGAGGGGGGTCCTTTCGCCCGGGAGGGGGGGTTAGCCCAAGAAACGCCCCTTCGCTCCCCCTCCTGGCTGGCTTGTGCACTGGGGCTGGCCGGGGCTCGGCTGTCTTCCACAGCACCCACCCCCACCCCCACCCCGGCGGTCGCGGCGAGGCCGAGGCTGCTGCTCCGCCACACTCGCCAATCGCCCTTCCGCC